GTTTACGTCATTGTATTTTCATATAGTATATTATACTATATGAAAATACAATAACGTAAACATCGGAATCTGCATGTATAATGAGCTACACAAATAAATCGCTTGATAGCAAATTGTGACGAACTTTATACGTATTTTTAAGCGTTTAATGCATTTTTACACATTTTGCTGGGCTGCCTATGGTCTGTCAGTGTTCTCAAATTTCATACGGCGAAGTTCAATTAAAATTTAACTTAGCACTAACCATAGACAATCCAGAAGACAGGGACTGGAAACGCCTAATGTTTTGCGCGTGCCATCCGTGATGTGCTTGCGTGACGCTTGTGCCAATCATGCCATGCCATGTGAGTGAATTACTGAATGGCGCCTGTTGCTTCGAAAAAGAATAAAGCGATAGATTGTGGACCGGTACTTGTCTGCTGTTTTACAGCATATACTGGAAAATTGTTTAAATAATCTACACCGAAAAGGGAGTTAGGTAGATCACATTGTGTGTAAAGTTTATAAAACGGATCTGCTAATATTCAGAGACGAGTGCAGAGAATTTTCGAGCTTGTTCAAAATTTTGATTTCCAATTTGTGGTGGACTTTCAGGCACGATTCAGGTTTGTTTGCATATTTTAGTTTACTCTATTTAAGTTTACGTATATTTATTCAATTTTGCTTCACTGTAATTACGTTATATAAATTGATTGAAGTTATCTTTTCGAAGTTTTCCTTGATCTACATTTTAAAATTTGAATTTGGCAATTTCGGTTTTTAAATTAATATACCTTCCATTTTTAATATTGACAACAAATCCTTTCTCGAAAACCCTTTTTGCTAAGGCATCCATTATTTAAAAGAAATAAAAACAAGGTTTCAGTTATTTTAACGGTCAGTTTTGCATGTTTAACACTCTTAACTTTCGACAATGCCAACAAGAATGCCAATGGCAATGACGACTTTTTTGCTGTCAAAAACATTACGCAATCATTAAAAGGTGGTTTTTGCTTTTGTTTGACCCAATATAAGTTTAAAAACCGGAGAAATGCATCCACATGTCTATATTTGTTTATATAAATATGTAAATTGCAAACCCTGAACTTTATTTAAACTGTAGTTGCAGGGTTCGAAGTTAGCCGGTACAAACTTTGCCGGACAACAACAAATGGCAATGGCGACTTTTTTACAGTGAAAAACATTACGCAAGCATTCAAAGGACGTTTTTGGCTTTGTTTGACCCGATATAAGTTTCAAAACGGGACAAGTGCATCCACAGGTCTATTTTTGTTCAAAATATGTAAATTACAAAACTCTGAACTTTATTTAGTTAAACTATAGCTACAGGGTTCGAAGTGGGGGCAACAGAAATGGCCATCTTCTAGTTGGCGCAAAAGTAATTTTGGCCGTCAAATTTTCAGTAAACATTTTTGGGCGAATAAATTACCAAATTGATATAAAAAATAGCCTATTCAATAGATTACAATCTTGTGATTACACATACTTTGACCAAAAGGTACAAAAATAGTTTATTTTTCAGTTGCAGGGTTAGTTTTGCCAGCAAGTTTTCAGAATAATATGACAATAACAATTGCCGGCTAATGACATTCGTAATTCTATCAATCAAATTCAGTAAACATTTTTGGGCGAATAAGTTACCAAATTGATATAAAAGATAGCCTATTCGATAGATTTCAATCTTGTGATTACACATACTTTGACCAAAAAATACAAAAATCGTTTATTTTTCAGTTGCAGGGTTAGTTTTGCCAGCGAGTTTTCAGAATAATAAGACGATAACAATTGCCGGCGAACAACATTCGTAATTCTGTCAATCAAATTCAGTAAACATTTTTGGGCGAATAAATTACCAAATTGATATAAAAAATAGCCTATTCGATAGATTACAATCTTGTGATTACACATACTTTGACCAAAAGGTACAAAAATAGTTTATTTTTCAGTTGCAGGGTTAGTTTTGCCAGCGAGTTTTCAGAATAATATGACGATAACAATTGCCGGCGAACAACATTCGTAATTCTGTCAATCAAATTCAGTAAACATTTTTGGCTGAATATGATACCAAATTGATATAAAAAATAGCCTATTCGATAGATTACAATCTTGTGATTTCAAATGGCTTCATCATCAAAGACAAAACAGGTTAAGTTTGTACTTACAGGGTTAGTTTTGGCAGTATTTTCTGGAAATAATTGCTGCGTACGCGATTTACCGATAGCACGATCCAAATTTTACATTTAGCGTCACTATAAAATAGAAATAAATGAAAATTTGGACGTATCTACCTTTGTTAGTATAGCCGCTCCACGACTACGATCCCAAAATTCAGATAATACGCTTTTTTTACGATATATTTTGCATAAACTACACGCACTTGCTTTTGTTTTTATGTAAATTTAAAGACTTGTTACCGTGGTAACCAAGTAATTGCTACGTGACAGGCACATCACGGATGTCACGATTTGTCATCATATTTCTAGCTTGCGTTTCCAGTCCCTGTCTTCTGGATTGTCTATGATCA